GATAGATGCTTTCTACAAACATGGGGTAACTTGCTGTATGTGATCTTGCACTCAATCAATCAGCTGAGTCTAGGGCACCAAACAAACGGAGACATTCACGCGAATTAAGCTTAAAGGTCTAAAAGTTGCTGTTTAGACATTGTCCCGCACACCTGTTAAAGTGAGAATTGCACGCAGTAGTAATAACGAGTAACAGTCGTGTGCTACGAGTAACAGTGTGTTACAGCATTTTACTCAGAAAATTAAACGGTCTAGAATATTCGAGGCATTTACATAGTTGCAAACTGAGAAGTCGTAAGCTGAACATATCAAAACAACGCCAAAAAGATAACAGATGATGTCTGATCATGCTTGGCACTGTGAATGTAACGCATTTGATCGACAGATCCACAAAAATTTCTGCAGCCGGCAGACAGGTGGACAAAGAAAGCTCAGAACAGTGAATGATGAAATTGAAGAGCGCATATACAATGCAAAGTTTTTCTGAAAAAGCAAATGTTTGTGCCTAATGTTCTTCCTCGTTTTCGTTGAAAGCCGCACTGAGACCGAGATTCTCCGATGTTTGCTGAGCCATTTATAGCACCACAATCATTGCTGACTTTTTCTTCGTGATGGCTTCGCCCAGTTGTGACCAGCTAAGTCCAACACGCAATTTCGACCAGCTAAGTCCAAACCTGACATGTCGATTTCTCAAAATCACCACTGTGATTTTACACACTACAGCGTGTGCGTTTCGTATGCCTGATACGGGAGACTTCGATATGCATGATTGCCTCGTTCCAACTTTTCCACTTCTGGGTAATTGCGAATATCAGCTGCGCGGGTTGCTCAGAGCTCAAACAGCACCTCACCTTCGTTCCATTTTCTCGACCGTGCAAGCAGCTTGTTTGGGGCAAGTCGCATCAACTGATGAAATACGACTGCCATACACAAACGGCCCATTTCCAAGCCATTCCTTCAACCGCTGCTGCCAGTGGAGGCCATGCACGCTAGACAAATGCAAAATCACTGAATGACAAACACTCATTCGGCTTTTTATAAAGCGGACCGTCACCACATCTTGTAGGCTTATGCAAATTTCGGACGCAGTTTATGCAAAACTTTTCAAGGATGCTATATTCTTCTGACTACACTGCATATTAAATTGCAGAGGCTAACACTAATGGTTCTGTTCTTTTGCGCGAATTATGCCTCTGAAGCTATCCGGTATTACCTATGAGAAGTGAAAACACTTGAGAATTGATCCAGGTGAAGGCATGTGCCATGAACCCGTGAGAAGGACTGTTAATGGACCCCTATTTCAGAGGCTTCTTAGAGGGATTTAACTTCCTCTGGTACAACATAATGATATCCTCGCAACTTCGGATCTGATCTGTCTCATTTAATGTTCTTCGATAGTTCTCTTCCGGATAGCTCCAGACCAAAAAGCCAGAAACTATTATATCTTCAGAGGAAGAGAGTATTATCATCAAAATATGATCCTCATTTGTTTCTACCGTTAAAATTGTCAGAGAAACCTTATCAATGGATCATCCTCACATCAAGTGGGCAATGCGTTTGGGGTTTTTTTATTGTATGGTTTTGTATCCAAAATTTCCTCTTCATTCTCTCGCATACAAATTATGCTCCTTGCACATTTCGGTCGCTGATTTTTAAGGATCTTTTTCTTTACTCGCAACATATGTTCAGTGTTTTACATCAACTTTCTGCCCAGTATTCCGTCCGAGTTTGTTTTGTTGTTGTTTGTTAAATTTATCGCACTGCTTTTTGACTGTTTGTTGACGTCTTTTTTTTTACTGAGTTTGTTGTTGATTGTTATTTATCTCACTGTTATTGATTTTTTCTAAAGTTTCCTTAAAGATAATTTGATTTGTTTCCTGCAGGAGCTCACATATCCTGCCTGATTGGTACGACATCACTGATAGAGTGCAGTGATATCCTCTTGGTTATCGCTTATCTTAACTTTCTTTTTTTTTTAGATAAATTCAGCGAGGTTTGGGGGGGGGAGGGAGTTGGGTTGTTCTCCAGTTTTTTGGTACTAGTGCTTCCGGAGTGTACATGTGGCGTAGAGAAGTTAACACCGACGTTTCACCAAGTTCCTTGAACGGCAGAAAGAAGAAAACTTCACTCTCACTCTCTCTCTCTTTTTCTTTCACGTCTCCATCTTGAAAAATAGTTACATTTCCCTTCAACACGTGGCGAGTAGGAGGCTGTACTGACGATTCCCACTCCTTCCCGCATGCATAGTCCGGTCTGTGTTTGCAGCTAAGGGATGAAACACAGGCTGCATCGTAAAATGTCTGTTTGTGCATGACACTAAAGTCGAATCCTTCTACTCTACTATTCGAAAGAGGAGGGAAAAGTAAAGATTAATGCAAACTGTTCATTCCAAAAAGTGGGTGAAGCTACACATTAAGACTGTAAACTGAAGTAAAAACTAGGCTTTATCGAAGCCATTTTATCGTCTGGAATGCAACTAAAACACAGTACAGGGCTGGGAAATTTACATTTGAAGAGGATATATACCAGGAATAATAAAACATCCAGGAGTTCACAGCGTATGATGGCTGACTGACACATCTGGACCTGTCCGAGAAAACGAAGAATCATATCTCGCATAAATACATTAAATTGAAATACAATTTCAAACACTACAATAAATTCATTCTAGAAATTATACATTTAGCTAGACGTGCCAGAAAGACCTTAGATTTGGTGACACAGCCAACACAGAAAGACATCGGGAACCCGCAGACGGAGACGCTGTAAATATTAGGTTGAGAAAATCCTGAGCCATTCAAGTTTCAGAAGTGCCAACTATTAGAAACTATGCCTCACAAATAACTATGCACAATATGCGAAAGGATAAAAGTGTCAGAAGCACTAAAGTTAGCAAAACGTGCATAGAAAAACCGAGCTGAAAAGTACTGGCTGTAGACATTTTCGAAAGAAGCTAAAATTGCTATTTCCGTTAAAAATGGCTGAAAGAGATGAGAATGCCGGTGTTTCTGTCCGAAACCAAAACCAAATTTGAAGAGGACACCAAAACCAGAAGCAGATGTGGGATTTTAGCACTGAAATAACTTGGGAGGTCTTGGACCAAAAAAAGAGCCACGGCTTTTGACCTCCAGAATGGGATAATGAATGCAAATTCGGGCCGAAAGCTTTGAATCAATTTTGAATCTATGATCTTAAAGGTCAAGCTCAAAAGTGGCGAAAGAAAAATGGTCCGTCATCTTGATTCTTCACAAAGCAGTTGCAAAAACGAAACAGGTATGTCGGCATCATTACTGATCAGCCGGTCAATACTATCTCAGTGGTGAACCCAGGTAAAACAGATAACAATAACTGACTAAAACATTC